GTGTATGTATATATATAGTATTTATTATATATATACAATATTTTTCGAAGACGGTTAAAAATGATGCAATTTTATCTTCCTTTCCCTCTCCAATTGACAATTTGGAAGTTTAAAACATTTTCCAACCTATCGGCCTGGCTGCGGTAATAAAACGAAAGTCTATTGTATTATTTGTGACTATTACTTGAATATATTAGTATTTGAAATACTAACAAAAAAAGTATTTAAATAAAAAATAAAATTATTTAAGCAACTAATCCTTATAATTATTTTGAGCTGAATATAACTTCCATTATTATATAAATTTTATGTTCAACAAACCCTACACATCATTTCAAACATTGTAACAAATTTTGTAATAATATAGGTGACATATTCCCATGGAGTTACAAATATTAACGTGTTAAAAGACTTTCAATTTTTTTTCCCCATACAGAATCTGTAACTTTCGCTGTATATACAGGGTGTCCAATGACTACGTCAACAACCGAAGAGGGATGATTAACGAGGTGATTCTAAACAACTTTTTCCTTTGCCAAAATGTTGATTAAGGCTTCGTTTTCGAGTTATTATCAAAAAACACTGGCCAATCAGAACGCGTCTTTAGCGCGGGCCGAACTACGAGTGTTGAGTTTGCTCTGCGTTCAAGCCGTGGTCGTGCTCCCGTGGTTCAGCCCGCGCTAACGGCGCGCTCTGATTGGCCAGTGTTTTTTGTTAATAACTCGAAAACGAAGCCTTAATCAACATTTTGGCAAAGGATAAAGTTGTTTAGAATCACCTTGTCAATCATTCCTCTTCGGTTGTTGACGTAGTCGTTGGACACCCTGTATATGTAGATGTTTCTTTGACACATTCTGCATGATTTAAAAATAATTGAATAAGAACTGAATATCTCGGAAACTAAAACTTTTCGTTAATTATGTATAATGAAAAAGTTGTTCAAAATCATGTCCCCGACAACATATTAAAAGATCATTGAAATCGTCCAATCTTGACATTAAAAACTTCCTGTATTTTGCAATAACAATGAAAAAATGAAAAATTTTTTTTCAATGGGACCAATCGGAAGACATACCCTACAAGATGCAAAAGGTTTCGTTCCGATTGGTCCATCCATCTCGGAGTGAACACAAAAAAAAGAACATACATATTGATCGAATTGAGTAACCTCCTCCTTTTCGAAGTCGGTTAAAAACACATTAATTATGTTCTTAATGTATACACTGAGGAACATTCAAACTCTAGTACAAGCTGCTAAAAAGCTTTTAATGACAACCTTAATGCAAGAAGTAATCCTAATTGAGAGCAACCGTAATACTCAGTGTCACTACCATCTTTTAGAAAGTTTGGCGCATTATATTCTCGGACGGCGCACCAGGGAGAGAGCTGCAATTTTAATTTAATTTTTTTGTTTTACATTATTTACATGGTCTAAAGTTTACAATGTGCTTTCAATATATCAAACCCTTTCGTTTAAAGGTACATATCTATCTTTAGGTTAATATTCTTGTATATGTTTTGTAAGTTTCAGCCACGATTAACCCAGGCTTCGTTGTTTAACGGTTAACCAACCTTAAGAAATAACTTTTGAGATATTGTCTTGCATTAAACACTTCAGTAAATGTTTCTGCACACCTTCATTTAAATTGTTATTTTTAAAATCGTATCACGAGTAATAATAGAAAAGTGTACATCGTAAAAATAATCAATGTGTGTTTCTGATAATTGCTATTAGCCCTTCTGTTCATGACGATTTTTGTCAACATTTTTCATGATTTTTGAATGTCATTTAATATTATAAATTAAAATTACAAAATTATAAAATTTCGATATATCAATAAATGTAATAAATCTCAATATTACCTTAATAATCTCTACTCTTAAATTTTTACAAGATAAATTCTAAAATTAAAAATTGTGACTTTTTAATTTGAGGTGAGCCGATTACCCCTGCTTCGCGCGGCCTTTGTAGAAACTTACTAAGAGGTTTTTTAGTAAATTGATTTATTTTTTTATTTTCTATAAAGAATTTTTATTTCTTCAGAAAGTTTCATTGCTCGAATATTGCGTTCTCGATTCATGCGATTTCTGATGCAAGGTATCCTTGTGACCATCCACCACCTTCGTTTCTAAAAAAATCTTTTCAACCCGTTCCTTCACCTCTTTGGGGGTCGAATTTTGAGAAATCTCTTTAATGAGTATGTTACGAGGTGGGGGGCTACGTAGCCGGGGCTTAATTTTGGTTATGGTGTTGTTAATGGCTTAACCAGTGCTAAGGAAGTAGACGCGAAAACGAAATAAAAAGAGTACTGGGGACGGACTCTACGTGATTCCGAGGGACCGCGCCCTTGCTTCGCGTTGGTCCCGAAATTTCTAAAAGACTGTCTATGCTGAGTGTACGCATCCAATTCAAAATAAAGAAAGGGTCTAGCCGCATAAACATAGTGAATCGGCCCCAGCAACAATTTCGGTTGTTATTTATACCACATAATGCTTTTCGCCTAAACAACAATTGTGTGCAATTTCCACCCCCAAGGGAGATATGAGGTTAACCAAAATTTTACAATTTTTTTTTCTCGGAAACTATTTAAGCTATTTGAACACACTGAAGTGCAAATAGTAGGTACTCATATTTTTTTTCAAAATTTTTGTCCAATGATTAAGGGTTGAAAATTAATAAATAAATTTTTGAAAGTGATTTTTATAAACAATCCCTTGAGTAACACCCACCGAAAAAATTAGGAATAATCCTTTACTATTTAACTATTATTTGTAACAGTTGCAAGAGTGTCGATTTGGTACAACATGGTTAAAAAAAAATTAAGAACATGGTTAAGAACAGAAAACTTAATCAAAAAGTTTAAATTGTTAATGTATTATTTAAACAAATGACTGTTAACTAACACACAGTTTAAGGAAAGAAAAGTTCATATTTTTATCCGACTTCGAAAAGGAGAAGGATACTCAATTCGATGTGTATGTATTTTTTTTTTTTTTTTTATGTATGTTCAGCGATTACTCCGAAATGGATGGACCAATGAATTTTTCGTGAACTGTAGTATAGTTAATTCGCAATGGGTATGTTGATTCCCGTTGAATATTATTTACTTGAAATTGTCAAATGGGTCATTTATCATAGGTTGCCGACGCTCGAGTTAGGATCTTCCAAGTAGAGAAAAAGTTTTTAATTTTGCGCCGCCTCCGAAAACTTTGAAATATATTTGGTATTCTATTTAACAATTAAGTAGATATTATTAATAGCTATGGTATATTGGTATAAATGAAATAGAAATTATTTTACACTTTTTAGTACATTTCGAAGTCGAATTTTTTTTTGTTAAAAATTATTTTATTCTTAGAGCTGTTTCTGGTATGAGAAACGTGGCAGGTCTGCGTAACGTGTTCCCTTGTAGGTCGGTTAGGTTGAGCGCCACCAAAGTTCAGCCTGGCTTTGCCTTATGAAGGAGCCTTGCATTGGTTTTATTTTTTTTAATCACGTTGTACCAATCCGACACTCTTGAAACTTTTACAGATAATAGTTAAATAGTAAAGGATTATTCTTAATTATTTCGGTGGGTGTCACTCAAAGGATTGTTTATAAAAATCATTTTCAAAAATTTATTTATTAATTTTCAACCCTTAATCATTGGACAAAAATTTTGAAAAAAAAAAATATGAAACGCAGCTAATGAGTACCTACTATTTGCACTTCAGTGTGTTCAAATATCTTAAATAGTTTCCGAGAAAAAAAATAGTAAAATTTTAGGTTGATACCCTCATATCTCTCTTATCAGAGTGGGTAGGGCAGGCATGTTTAATTGTTAGAAGCGAAAGAGCCACTGCTCCCATTCTTACCGCTTCAGACTTCTCCCACCATCCCGTAGAATTTTTGCTAGGACTAGGAATACACGTCAAATATTGAAACAGTCGGGAAACCAACAGAAAGGGTGGTGGGAGCCGAGCGCGAACTCCGTGGTAGGGGAAAGAGCCACGAGTGGCCCGCGAGCCGCAGGTTAAGCCGAGTATCCACCTGTATCAAACGCCCGTATCGTATCACCGTTCCGAACCCTTTTGAATAGGCAGACGTTGCCTCGTTGCATGCCACGGCGTGCTACGGCTCGGACAATATTTCTTCGTTTCTTGATAGAAACGGTTCGGCAATAGGACTGGGCCACTACAGGCGAGGAGTTTCGTTTTGCTGCGTGCCGTTCCAAAGGAACGGAGGCAACGGACCTATCCGAAAAATTTGTCGATTCTTTGCCGTTGCATCGAAGGAAAGGTTTATGCATTTGCACTTGAGATAGCGTTTCGTGCCGTCACTTGGGTTTCAATTTATTTGAAATCTTGCGGTTAGACAGGTCTGGAGTAGGGGGTTGAAATTGCACACAATTGTTGTTTAGACAAAAAGCATTATGTGGTATCAATATCAACCGAAATTGTTGCTGGGGCCGATGTTGCTTATACGGCTAAACGCTTTCAGAGACGGGAACGTAACAAGTGTTTAAGTCTTAAGAAGAAGTCATTATAAAAATTTCAATCTTCTAGGTCTAGAGGTTTTTCGCTGGACATTGATCATTTTTAATCCTCAAATGGCGGACCATGCAGAGTACCAACTTTAATTTAATTTTGTATTTCATATTTTCTTTGTTTCAAAATTTCATACTGTACCTCTGAAAATTATTCTTTCTCTTGTAATTAAGCAGAGACAGACCGGCATTATATATATATATTTGTTTATTTTAATTATATTTTAGTATCAATTATATAATGAATGAAGAACAAAAAACACTATAAACTATTTTAATAAACATATTCTATAATAAATTTAAGGAATAGAAGCTCATGTCTTTTTACCGCGCACATAGTAAGAAGAATGGAACAAAAGAACATAACGAACATATTCCCTAGTCGGTAACATAGGGATCGATTACCATCTACAACACTTTCAATATATGAAATCTTTTCGTTTAAAAATGATACATTTATTTTTAGGTTAATATCTTTGCGTATATTTTGTAAGTTCGAATCCATGTCGACCCAAACTTCGCTGTTCAAGGCTTGAGTCAGTGAGTCAATCAGAATTTTATACATAGAATGATTTCTAATAAATAAACTGTATACATTTCTATTTTTATTAAAAGAAGATTGTCTTACGAATCTGTTCTTTAAATTTTATCGATACTATACGGTATGAATTTATATGTTGTATATTTTTCGTTTTACAAGATGTTTTTTTAAAATCGTTTAAATTAAAAAAAAAAATGTTTTGTTATGTTGATATAAATAAATTTTTCTTATTAACTTATTGTTAGCCATGAACAGCGAAACCTCGGTTAATCGTGACCTAAACTTTAAAAAAACGTATACCTACAAGGATATGACTCGAAGTGAAATGTATCATTTTTAAACGAAAGGGGTTCATGTAGTGGAAGAATAATTTTTAAAGCAACAGTGACCTCAAATTAAAATTTTGCTCTCTCTATGGTTCACCATCCGAGGATTACATTATAACATAGGATGATTCTGTAGAACCTAGAGATAATAAATGTTTAAAAAGAGACAAAAAAGTAACCAAAATGTCACCTTCTACCTGACATGTTTTATTTATCCCTGTGTTATTCATAAATATAATTTGAATAATTATTGTATAATTTTCACTTAAAATTCTATGAATATCTCAAAATTTTTCTACATTAAGGTAAATCTATTTTGAAAAATTTAATTTTATGTATTATGTAATTTTCAATTAAAATTACAATTATGTGATTTGATACGAAAAATTCATTATCTGAGTATGAATGATACCCAATACGATTGTTTATTGATGAATAATATAGCATAAATGTTGATGTGCTGTGTGTGCAACCATAAAAGATCGGTATGTTGATTCAAGTAAATTTATCTTCAAGGTCGAAAGGTATACGACTGATGGAAACTAAACTCTTCCTATATATGAACGCACGTGGAACTGACGTCTATCTAAAATAGCGGTTTCAATAGACATTCTATCCCTAACGAAATTTACCAAGAAGTAAAATTATCTTTTCTGCTGTTTTCTGTTCCATTAACCCTTAACTGGTACAGTGAAATAGACTCACCGTTTGAAAAATTGCAACATAAATTTAATTAGAAATGGTAGAATATTTTAAGACTTTTTTCTAATTTCAAAAAAAAAAAAATATCTAATTCGACTATTAACCCTTGAACAGTGAAGTCTAGGTCAATTGCGACTTAAACTTACAAAACATATACAAAGATATTAACCTAAAGTTACACATATAACCTTCTGTCTACACCGAGAGGAAGGTATGGGAGCGCGATTTGAATGTCTTCTGTGCAAAAGGAATAAACTCCAAACTTGTACTAATTTGATCAGCACAGTGTTTCATTGGCACGTACGCGGATGTAAGTAATACAATGTCAAATGATAGTTACACTCGCAAATCGCTCGTTATCTATGGTTAATTTATTCTAATCCGCTGGCTTCCGCTCACCTGCACATACAGGATGTCCCAGAACTACGGTTGGTCCCTTGAAGGGGAGGTAGCTGGGGTGATTCTGAACAACATTTCCCTTTGGCAAAGTGTTGTGCAAAACGAAGCATCAAACAACATTTTGCCAAAGAAAAATGTTGTTCAGAATCACCCCAGCTACCACCCCTTCAAGGTACCCACGGTAGTTCTAGGACACCCTGTATAATGAAGAACGATGTCACAGTGACGTTGCCTAATAAGTGGGGCCACGCGGTGGATTCGGACAGGTAGACGGCGCTATGTGTCGCCTACTTGCCGTAACACCTTCAGGTGAAAGAGTTTGATATATTAAAATTTAGAAAATAAAAATAATATGAAACACAAAATTAAATTAAGATGAGGCTCTCTAAAAGGTTAAGATACTTGATATCATCTGTTACTTGACTGGATGAGGTATCATAAACCCCCCTGTAGCAGTTAACAATATATCCAATTTAATTATACCTGCAATTGTTAAATTAAAATTTTTTCTTTGCATTTTTCAGGGGGTACCTTATAATTGTGTTCATCCCTATGAATAAGTGACATGGTATTTTTTTAAATTATGTTCCAGTTAAATATTAAAGATGACTATTAATTACTAAATTTTGATGGGGAGAGGGGGATAAACATCTATCATTTTTATGGGCTATGATAGTGGATGTATAGCACTATTGCACGTGGTAATATAACAAACTACTATACGTATTATGTCGATATAATAAGTTAAAGATTCTAACAGAATAAAATTGTAAATCAACTGCTTCCGAAGCAACAAGTTATCTACTACATTATACAATCATTTATTCCATCAGATCTTTACAGCATATTTTAACAAAAATAAAAGTTTATAAAAAGAAGTCTTTCTTTTGTATTTTCAACGATCCAGATTGCATACTGAGGGTTAATTTTTTTATTAACAATTGTAGTTTAGTAGATGGTTATTTTAATTTCCAACAAAACGCTTGAGAATCAGACAAATTTTAAATAGCGATTGTGAGATATAATGTTGATAATTACAAAATTTGGTGTTTTAAGAAAAAGGATTTGAAAGTTAAAAGTTGTGGCTCACCCAATTTAGCCAATGTCAGGATAATATAGAGCTTCTTTCTCTGCAGCAGTGGCTTCCTCTACAGCAAACCTCTTCTTCCTGAGAACATCTTTTGCGCTATTTGCAGGGCCCTAAAGTCCGATCCAGATAATCCTTTCTAATCTCCTTCCTTTGCCATATTCAGTGCTCTTACTGCTGAAATTCCTATCTCTTCCATTATCTTCAGAATAGCTTTATTTTCATTACCAAATGTGGTGACAGTAGTACTTTAGATAATTTGATAGTCTACACGATAGTATTGTGATATATCTTTTTTCTTCTAATGAGCATCGTTTGAAGTACTATACAAATTTTAAACTAATTGAACCATCTCCGTTACAAGTGCACCAGTAGAAACAATGTCATACGATTTGGGAGATTACATTTTTGCGCCAATTGACGAATAAGTCATTTTGATAAGTAAATTATAAAAATTGCCGGTTATAAATTTTGATTGGAATCATTATTAAAAATGTTATATACTCTTCATCGAAATTCCCGCTTAATTTAAGTACAGTTTGTTATTTTTAACATATCGCGAATATGTCTGGCCCTTAATTAATTAGAAGGTAATTAGGAGAGTAATTACCGCCGTAATTAAGAACTTCATCTAGAAAGGTGAAAGTAGGTGTTATTTAACGACGATTTACTTTAATTTACATAAGTATCACTATTTAAATTCAAATTTTAATACATTATTGTTTAGTACTTATTCTATTCAGCAGTTCTCAACTAGTGATACACGTACATTTATGGCACGCGAAAGGAAGCTGGGTGGTATACTCGTGATCAAATTAGGTTTCCTTAAAAAAATGACGGTACAGGGGAAGCAGGAGTTCTCAAAACCTTAATTTTAACGATATTAATATTAAGAGCGAGTTAGAAATAAAATAATATAATTTTTATTTACTGAATATTGTAAAATTGAGTATATTAATATAATTGAGCAATATGAATAATAACTAAATATCAATTCAAATTTTCCTCCGTAAACGCTAGACTATTATACATATATATAGGGCCTTTTAATATATAATATAACAATTTTAATACGATTCGGTAATCGTAGTTTTTTTGTATAATTATTTTATTAGAAACCAACAAAGAAATATACGATAGCAGTGTAAGTGTATAGTTCCTCTAACATTCCTATGTACCCTGGCGATCAATTCAGACTCACGATGTATGGGGGAAAGCTCCATATAAAAGGCGTCCCATTTGAAGTGAACCATACGATGATCATATTTCTACAAAATATAGTTACAATTAAACTTCATAAAAAGAGGGGTTGCAGCTTCAGGTCCCACCACAAGCCTTCCATTTACTATATCAAAAAATATTGTGGAAAATTTCATTTTACTGTTACCGCTTTTCTTTACAATTAAATATTATTTGATTTTATTTATTTTTAACCAAGTTTGTTAATCAAAGGAGGCTTTTAAAGGTTTGATAGCCCTGGATTCAGATGTCTTAATTCAGTCGTGGATATTTTTCGCACAATGCAATTGTAACAGGACGAAAGCCCTTAGTTATATATTAATACCAATGTAAAATAAATATTTTCGCGGCACAATTAGATATGCAATTTGAAGCACTCAAGAGTGATTCAAATAATTCACAATATTGCATACTTCTTTCAAATCTCTATTCTTATTGTTTTTTTAAAACCAATTGAACTGTATTCAGGAAAAAACAAGTTTAAATATTTTTTGAATTAAATTGTTTATAAATCGACTTCACCAAGTACACAATCCCGTTTTTAATCAATCAAGAAACTCATTTCTTCTGTTTCTAAAGGGCACCTCACGCAATCAATATACATTGTCAATACTGTTAACATTTGTTGACACTCAAAATAATAGTGGTGTATCTTCAAATTTATTGCAAACAACCGTTCCACTTGTATACATATATTCAATTTTTTTTTCAAACTTTGCAAATGAATTATATCTTTTGCATAAAATAACGTTGACTGCCGCAGAGAAAATGAACATTTATTGTAACACATACCTACAGTTAACTTTCAACTTCCATGTTTCAAATTTTTTATTTGCTATTTTACAATACTGGTATAATGTCAACTCTATTAAAAATAATACTTTCGCCTCCTTTTAATTTTTTGAACATAACACTGGTGATCCCTACAGCACTCAACGTGTTAATAGTTAATAACATTACATTATTCATATTCAATTAATTTAAGAACATTTCAAAGAAAAGCTTGCTTTTTTCGAAAAATAAGTAATGACAGTTACTCCGCTACTATTCTGTAGTTTGACAATAAATACTAAGAGTACTGACTCTATATGTATATTTGGTAGTCTGAAATTCATGGTACAAATAGAGTCAGGGTGATTCTATGGCTCAAAATAAGTCGAAAATCAGAAAAAGGGAAATTACATGGGAGGCTTCGTTTTCGAGAAAAATGCATTTGAAAATCAATTTAGGTACGCGTGTACATACTTAACTAATAACCAATATTACCGATTCCACTATAGAACGTTGCTGTGACTATTTTTACACGTTAAACGTAATAAATAATAATAATGAAGTAACCATCACATTGTTAGTTGTGCTTAGTTTATTATACAATATTGTTTAGGCAAAATATTATTCAAAATATTGACCATTTTCTCGTATGCAAAGTTATAGTCTTTAATTTAAATTCTTTTACTGTTTGCTGCGTATCCCAGATTGTCATCTCTTCAAATGCTACTATGATTCATCGTTTTAAATGATCAAGAATAAATAAAATGTCTTCACAATAAATTATTCTTTTCACGTTTCCCGACAGATGAAAATTGAAAAAATAATGAAAAAAAAGTGTGTGTGTGCCTAAGACCATATGACTGACGATGAAATGAAAACTTCTATGACGTATTTATTAGCTAAATCCCTATTTCGTTTCAATTCATCGTCGGAACTGGCTATTTTGACCTATCTTTTCACCTTTTGACCATTCAAATATTTATACATGCACATCGTAGCTACTATTAAATATTAAAAAATGAAAACGTTCCGTGATAAAATTAAACACAGCAGGGCATAGCAGCGTGACACACCTATCTGTTTCTTGCTCACTCGGTTAAACTCGGCTTCCCGGAGTTTACCCGAATAAATGTTTCATCTCAGAGCGTGACGAATCAGACTCATTCCCTGTCCAGCAAAACGTGTTTACGCACTGCGCCTAAAGAAGTTTTCACTTCAAAAATAATTTGTAACGTCGGTTATTAGTTAAGCACAGGCGTATTTAAACTAACTTTCAAATACATCTTTCTCGAAAACGAAGCCTCCCACGTAATTTCGTTGATCTTGATTTTCGACTTATTTTGAGTCATAAAATTACCCTGACCTCATTTGTACCATGAATTTCGGACCACTCTGTATATTAATCTGAGATTCCCTGTAACAGATATAAACAACCCAGGACAACCAAACTTCGGATTTATAGTAATTGAGGGACGAGAAATCGAATGAGACCATTTTCAGAACTGGCAAATAAACCGTTCTCGAGATATACAGGGTATTCTAAAAGTACAGAAACCCCCTATTACCTCGATAAGAACGTATTTTCGCGGAAAATGACTAACCTAACCTAGGTTAGGGTTAGGGTTAGGGTTAGGTTAGTCATTTTGCGTGGAAATGCGTTCTTATCAAGATAATAGAGGGTTTCCGCACTTTTAGAATACCCTGTATATCTCGAGAACGGTTTATTTGCCAGTTCTGAAAAGAAATTGTGGCTGTAGTTCCGAATACGACCGGTCGCCGATCAAGATGAAATTTTGAGGGGGAGAGGGGAGAGAGGAGGGGACCCCAAATATAAAGTGGTATCTTTGGCTTTCTATTAGTTTCCGAGATATTAATTAAAAACTTTCGTACAAAACATAGAATTTTTCCTATACAGACGCAACTAACACTACCGTCTTCGCTGTAGCAACCGTCATCGTCAAGTGTCGAACAGCCGTTCACGCCATAGCGATATCGGCTTCCGTTTCTATAGGGTGTTCCGTGTAAAATCCATTTTTTTAGTTACATTACGTTATGTTTTATATTTTATTACTAATTCTCAAGGAATTAAACACATTTGATTTATACGTAGGTTAGGTTAGGCCGCCCGGAAGGCGGCCGGCAACACTCGTCGTATCTCCAAAGTTTTGAATAGGACACCTTATAGATAGTCAAGCTGGAACCTCCGCTGTGTCAACGGCTGTTCGACACTTGACGATGTCAACTTACTACAGCGAAGACGGTTGTGTTAGTTACGTCTGTATAGGAAAAATTCTATGTATTGTACGAAAGTTTTTAATTAATATCTCGCAAACTAATAGGAAGCCGAAGATACCACTTTATATTTGGGGTCCCCTCCTCCCTCCCCTCTCTTCCTCAAAATTTTATCTTGATTGGCAACCGGTTGTATTCGGAACTTCATCCGAAATTGTTATGATTGATTTCTTTAAGTTAGAGACGCTCAGCAAGTAGTAAACTGAACACGAGCGTCCGTCAACGCCCAAAAGGTATAGCCGGATAAGATGGTCAAAAGTGTAATGGCTCATCCGATAGCTTATTAAGAAAAAACAGTCTGTGCCAAGTTTCAGCCCTGTATCTCATCTGGGGGGATAGTAATCGGCAAAAATGTAAAACACACGTTTTGGTCAATTTCTCCTATATTTGTGCATGAAAAATTCTGAAAAAAATCAGAGATATTTCTATTCATGAGACACATATTATACTAGCTATGCAGATTTTTCTTGATAAACTATCGAATGAGCCATTTGGTTTGGGGGCACTTTTGACCATCTTATCTGGCCCACGGTCAGGCGAGTGTGGGGGAGGGGTACTTCTCACTCCCAGTTTGTCGAGGACTCGCAGGTGAATGTCTTTCACTTCTTAATCTGATTTACAACTCTCATGTGTCCGCGTCAAATCATCACGTATAAGACAAGAAACACAGCATTTCCGTGTAAACTTTACTTGACTGTGTCACGTGATATTGTTTGTTGTTCATAGCACGTGCTCGTAGCCCGATCGTTGCGATGATGCCCCCCACCACCGATCGATAATCGCAGCAGTATAGACAGTGACGCCCGAGGTCAGCCACTTGCCTGACTGTGCGTGCTCCGAGTGAACCGGATGGTCCAAAGAATGGCAACCAAATGCAGGGAAGTAACAGTGGTCCAGAACTGAAATTTAGCTGTTCAGATTTTGAATTGACCGGAATAATCCGTAATTTTTTATAAATAAATATCAAAAATATTTTAATCGAAATATGAAAAATATTTTTTATAAGAAAAAACAAAAATAATTGTTACAAACTGTTGCAAACGATAATAATAATCTATTATTTGATGTTAATTATCTAATGTAGAACTTTACCATATAATAGCCTCTTAACGCATCACGCAGTTCCGGTGACCGACCCGCCTTAAACAATAATAATTCTCTTTCTGAGACGAAGTGAGACGTGATTCTAATATGACTATGCAGCGAAAAGTATACAAAAAATATTCTACTTTACAAAAATGCGCTACTATTTAAGACCCAAAAGATATTCTGTGTCAAAGATGGAAAACTTCGACGATTCTCTTTGATCCATTGAATGTTATTTTTTTTATATAAATTATAAACAATGAGTTTTAACTTAAGGTGCATTCTCATTGTAGATAGATACTCTTTATTTATAGACAAAAATGGACATATAATATTAAATAGACTTAGCAAGGTATCAATAAGAAGAAAAGCAAATTTTTTCGGTGAAAAATGGTATTTATGAAATGTTCATCTTTAAACGCTTGTTCTAATCACAATTTATAATAAATCCCGTTAAAGGCTTTTAAGAAACTAAATACATTTGAGAAACATCGATATGAGGAAATTGATTTGTTAGCAAATGAACAGCTAATTCATCGATCTGGACTTCTGTGTGACGCATAGAGACAACACGCTAGTAAGTCGTTCACAGCGATAAAATTTTATAGTTTTGGCAACTGTGTAGATTCCATCATGAAATTTACAGGGTATTACAGCGACTCTTTCTGGATACTAGAGAAAGAATTTAAAATCGATATGTTGTCCCTCCCTGTTGTGATTTACATTTGAAAATTAAAAATGATATTATCATGTGTATTATTTGTTTAATTTCTAACGATTGAAAGAACAAAAACAGGAAGAACCCCAAACCAGTGATGGCTCACATGAATTTATAATAGTGAGGCTATAGCAATAAAAGTGAAAAAGATCAATATGGATTAAAAAGATTATTTCATTAATGAAAATAAATTAATTTTTAACAAAAAATACAACCGACTTCAAAATGCGCTAAAAAGTGCACCAATGCTATTTCATTTGCACCAATCCTCCACAGCTATTAATAAAACCTATTTGATCGTTAAATAGTATACTAAATACATTTCACCTTTTTCGGAGGCGGCGCAAAATTTTATTAGGTTTAGGTTTTAGTAAGGTTTTATTAGAAATTATTTCATAATTTTTAGTGCATTTTGTTGTAGAAATGAAGTATAAGTTATTTTACACTTTTTAGCACATTTTGAAGTCGGTTGTACTTTTTGTTAAAAATTATTTTATTGCACACTTCTTGGAACGTGCAGTATGTATTTGTAAGATACCATGAGGTGAGTTTGCGTTTTTATTGCTTAGCTAATAACCGTAAACCGAAAAAAATATATTGACCGAATTTAGATGGTTAATAAACAACAAATTCCATACTTTTTCGCAATCGTGGATATATCTCTTACTAGATGTGAAAGGTTTCATCGCGATTGCTACATTCCTTACAGAATAAAAGCCAAAAAATATAAATGGAGTTTTTTGCAATAAAATCGTTAGCAATGCAAAAATGCAAAATGTTTTTTAATGGGACCAATCGGGAGACATACTCTACAAGATGCAAAAGGTTTCGTTCCGATTGGTCCATCCGTATCGGAGTAACCGGCGAACATACATACAAAAAAAAATTATATACTGATCGAATTGAGTAACCTCCTCCTTTTTTAAAGTCGGTTAATAATAGGAATTGTTCAAAAAGTGGGAAACATCAACGCCTTCAATGATTGTCAAATATGTAGAGAAAGGGATGGTAATAGATAATGGGGATCCCTACCCCTCAATTTTATATTCTTTCTTCAAATTTGATTCTTAATTTGAACTACATAAAAGTTTTACTTAAATATCCGTAAATGAATAAGGCTTTCTTTGATAAAAGGTGAAAGTAGAAGAAGAACAATTTAACGAAAGATCGTCAGGTGTCTTTATTAAGAATACACTCCCGTTATATTGCCGCGGATGGGATTGTAGAGGCAGACAATTTTTCAAATTTCCAAGCTTACATTGGGAGGGGGATATATGTAAGTGTATTGTCCTGTTGGTAGGCTATAATGGTGAAAGAGTGGCACTAGTGTGCTTGAAAATCCGTATGGAGGTTACATCACTTACGTGGCAATATATCGAGAGTCTACTGTAATATTGTATAAAAATCGCCGAAGAGGTCAAATTACCAGCAGGGGCTACCTTTTCCTCTACCTATATTTATAAAACAGAAACTTTCATTTTACAGTGGAGCTGCCCCCTGCGGCCCTCATGGACGAGCTGTCACTGCCCTAGATTACTTTCCCAGAAGGACCAAATCTGACATCAGACACTGTAAAAGACCTAAGAACTGGGATGGGACGATCACAATTAGTGTAAACATCGACATATTCGTTCATTTATATCTTTTAGTGGCATAACTATAATTGTCTGATAGGATAGCTAAAAAAATTGTTTCCTACTTTATTAGTGCCGTGATAATATTCACCTAAATTTCGTTTATTCCTGTTTATTTCCAATAATGTTATCTAAAATTTTCGAAAATATTAAATAAAGGTTCTCCATTTCTTAATAGGGAACCACTTGACAATTTTGAGTCTCCCTAGTTGCGCTACTGACGTCTTGCTTTGGCAAGAGTAGGCTCTTACTATATTGCCACGTGAATGATTTAATTTTCACACAGGTTTTCAAGCATGCAAATGCTACTTTCTCTAGGAAAATGAAAACTTGAAGGTTTGAAAATTTTCCTGCCCTTATCGCCTTGTTCGCGGCAATATAACGAGAGTTTACTGTATTAGTCTTTTACAGTATGAATAAATCATGTATTTTTTCTGTGCTTTTATCCAAAACAAATTAAACTCATGATCCATGATAATATCCTATGTACAAGTTATCGTTTTTTGAAGAAATAAAATAATCTTCATTTCTGTTCTCAACCAGATAAAAACTGTTCGAATTATATTTATCGTATATCAAATAGAGAAAAAAGAGGAAAGAGGATACAGATTGAATCCATATTCCTTTTAACCATACACGAGATTAATCTGTTATCCTCTTTCCCTTCCATTTTTATTTTGTATACGATATGATGTTTATTTATATTAATACTTTTTAGAAAATAAACATTTGAAAGGATCAAAAGTAAGACGAAATATCAGATCCTATATCAAGTATTTTATTTACACCCCTGTTGGTCATAAATTAGTTTGAATATTTCTGAAAAATAGTGGCTCTAAACTTACCGCCTCCATAACTCAAAAAGTTTGCGCCATATCGAGGAACAGAATATTGATTTTAGTTCGTACACTGAGGCTTACAAGCCTACGATGTTTTATGAAAATCTATATGTATGTATCCGTTAACTTGTACTTAAAATTTGAAAATTCCGGAAATGCAGAATTTAAAAAATTTCAGTTTCAGAATTTTGAAATTCCAAAATCTCCAAATTCCAAATTTCCAGCGTTAAAAATATTTTATAATTCAAAAATTTCAAGGTTTCAAATTTAAAAATTTCAGTTTCCCAAAGTTTCAAAATTTTTTAATTTCTAAGAGAGCCTTGAAACTTAAAAAATTCGCCGCAGAAAAATCTATATTATGCCAATGTATTTATATGATTCTAGGATTTGGACTGCTACCAGGCCGATAAACAGTTATCAATGTGGTTCAATTTAGTTGTTTTCCAATTCATGGATAAAACGTTAAAAGCAAAAAAAACACTAATCGAACTTGGCACTTCCTACTGGTAGCTATAGAAGTAATGGATAAATTACACTATTCAACACGTATTTGGATCACTCATTTTCAATAGACGCTTCTTCTATGTGCTGAATTCGTAAGAATATCTGCTCTATCAGAGGGTGTAATTAGATTTTCTGCTACAGTTTTAGTTTTTACAACAAACTGAGAAACATCCATAATACTTACGATTACAAATGTGTTTCAAGAGAGATTATCGCTTTAATCGTTTAAATATATTAAACTTTTTTCTTATAATAATTATTGTAATAGCATATAATATTTAATAATAATATTATTTGTAGTGTTAACAGCAATGGAGCAACTATTATCTACTCTATTTAAGCTGAAAATATCTTAAAAATTAAAAATTTGCATTTTTCTTAAAAATCAATTTTCGAGTTTAACAACTTAAATGCAGCAACTAACTTTTAATCCTCAAACAACGACAGTTGAGTCAGGTATGATCCAGATTTACAAAACAGTGAATAAGCTAAAATTAAGCTTCAATTTTTAAATAAAATAATTTCATACATCAGAGAAATAATATCCAAGGAAACAGCATCGAATTTAAAAATTGAAAATTAAATTTCAACTTTAATTCATAGATATAATAAATTGACAAAGACCTGATTCTACCTTACAGAAACTGATTTTTCAATTTCGTCGAACGAATTTTTTTATTGATGGTGAAAAGTCGCTGATTGAAGCATATCAAAAGACGTGCTTTTTATTCTTGTACAGTTCACTTCGTTGTATTGTTTCTTTGATTCTCTAAAAATTGGGAACTTGTGAAGTACACCTGGTATCCATATACTTGTATGACTTTAGAGATGCTCGTTACTTCATTTCCTTCTCATTATTTAACCTTCTCTCTGTGCAAATATTTCAACATTAATCGTGTACAGAGGTGTAATTATAACCAAAAAATATGCATTTTCAGTGCAAAATGTAAAGAAGAAACTTTGGGTGTGTGGGTGTGTATGAAATTTTATTGATTTTTAATACTTTGACTTTCACGTCACCCATATGCTTGTATTTCTATAGAAATTCATCAGTCATATTATTAAGACTTCTTTGACTTACTTGATTAGAAATACTCGTATTAGATACTTGAAATTATGGATAAAGAATATAATGAAATATTGTAAAGATAATATGGATAAGATTTGTAAAGACAAATCAGCGTGCCAGTCACTGTTAAGAAGATAGGAAAAAGAATTAAAAGTTAAAAAATGTTTATTAGTCTGGAGTGTGTTTGTATGTACGTACATACACCGAGTTCCATCGAAATTGTCGCAGTGAAGTTGGCGCACTAACACATTCACGCCGTGTCGGTGAGCCGATTGGCGAGGTGCCGACGACGCGACACTGCGTGAATGTGCAGCCAACTTCACTGCCACAACTTCGATGGGACTCACTAGATGCCGGCGATTCCGCCCGAAGTCGATCGGCAATTATCGGCAATGTTCGTCGTGTCGTCTGTTCATATGTCGGTAGCGAACATGTTAAACTACGATTTATATGAAATAAATGAATGATCTCTCTATTTATACTAATTAAAAATTGCAACAGAACATAAAAGAATACGTTATTCTTATTTATGGTATATTTAATTAAAATATAAAACGTAATATTCAAAACTATATTAATATTTCTGTGACCGATTGTACCTTGAAGGTTATGTCGTTGGAAAATTGTCCACAGTTTAGAAGTTATATTCGGTCGAGAGTGCGGAAACAGTGGATTAATTTTA